CCCTCTCCCTCCCTCTCCCTCTCCCCCTCTCCCTCTCCCTCTCCCTCTCCCTCTCCCTCTCCCTCTCCCTCCCCCTCTCCCTCTCCCTCTCCCTCTCCCTCTCCCTCTCCCTCTCCCTCCCCCTCTCTTCTTCTGTTTCGCTTGCAGGACGAAGTGACCTGGAGCAAACTTCAGAGAAGGCTGCTCCACGTGCTGAGCCAGGCGGCCGAGAAAGAGCTGTCGTCGCTGGCGGATCCAGAGATGCCTCCGCTGCAAGCCGGGGATGCATTTCATCCCGCGACAAAGTTCCCTCGCTGCAAACAGATGGCTGTGCTCACACTCCTGTCACTGCTGTGTTGCCGCAGACAGCACTGTTGTTAGCCCCATGAATTCCCTGCCAAATTGCAGGGATGGCAGAATGCTTCGAGGAGATTGCAAACCTCGGGCACAGATGGCGATAGATCGATTCATGTCGAGAGGCGGAGGCTTCTGCAGCAGCTCTTCGGATTTATGCTTGAAAGAGGTTGGCCTCGAGAAAATGTGTCCCGGAGACTACAGCAGGACCCCCTAAGACATAGTATAAGGGAGTTTTTATTTGATACCCGAGCCTAAGTGTCTTTTAATCTTATTATGAATATAGACCTTATAACCTTACACGGTGAGTTTACTTCTAATTCCTTAGCTCTCGCAGGACGACGGCTGACTTCATGTGCCGATATATGCGAAAAATGGAGCTGAGCATCAGCAAGGCCCACCCGATACGCCCCCCCACTTCACACGTTCATTTGCATTCTTGATTTCGGGAGGCTCTAGATTCCATGACTTTCAAGTCCTTCGGCATTGTCTGCGACGCCAGCCCGAAAGCCAAAATGGATGCCTCTTGAATACAATATGCAATGCAGGCTAGTGTTTCTTGTCATTGTTGTTTGTAATGTGGCGGCTACCATCGCAAGGTCTGGTTGCCACTCTTTTTCTGGCCTGACACGATTGGGCTGGGGACACTACAGAGGCTTAGTGCCTTGCTTCCGTCCACCGCCACCTCGGACTCCAAGCTGGAAGCTTGCGGTTTGATTGCCGACAGCCGCACGCGCAATGTGCTGGGCGAGACAAAGAAAAGCGAGCTTGCCAAAAAACTGTGGCTTGGTTTGCAATGGTGCAGTTTCCGTCCACGAATGTGCATTGTAAGCTTTGTGTACGAATGTTCGCACATCACATACCGAGGCCCAAAGCACTCAACAGCATCAAGCAAGACAAGTTGGCCAGCCGTCAAGAGCTGAAAGCACTGATGTGTGTGATGAGCCAAGTAGGAGTGGATATCGACCAGTGCTGGCCGCAAGATCCCTTGATTCCACGAGTCCCCGGCAGAGAGGAGAGAAAGACACATGAAGTTGGTTCCGAGAACTTCGCCTTTATCTACGACAGAGAAACCGGCAAGAGCCGGTGGGATGTTCCGATGCCCACTGCCGGCCATCTGCGGCTGGTGGTGTGTGCTGACCACGGCTCTCCTATGCACACGTGCTTCCAGTTCTTAGCACAAGCCGGGGCAAGCATCCACCTCATCCGCGATGAGCTGCTTTTTAGTCGCAGATTTGTTTGCCTAACTCCCGTAGTCACAAAGTTCTGGATAGCCCCGATCCGAAAACCCTAAACCCTAAACCCTAAACCCTAAACCCTAAACCCCAAACCCTAAACCCTAAACCTTAAACCCTAAACCCTAAACCCAGGCACAAGCTGAATGCACACCAGGGAAGAGTGACTTCCTGCAGCCCGGCCATCTCACGTTTCTTGGTGATTACTCAGAACACTACAATAATCTTAAGGATATGGGGTTACAACTATCAGTAATGATATTTTTTCTTATTTTCGAAGTACTTCCCAGCAAACCTTCCTGATACCCAGGGATGACAATGCTATGCGGCTGGCTCTTCAGAGCCCGCAAGACCCCGTGGCATACGCAGGGCTTCGGCAACCTTTTGAGCGAGGCTGGGGCCAGGTACATGCAAACAGCACCGCAGCTGCATTGATCCGAACTGATGGGCACATCCTATGTAACCACGACCGAAACTCTGATCTTACTACATTAGCTAGCATGCCTCCAAACAAGGCCAAGCCCGACGACCTCCTCATGCAGATGTTTCAGCGAGATATATTGAAGGAGTGGCTTGTTTTGCACAAGTTACAGGTGATCGCTCTGCAAACCCACGTTTAAATCTTGCTTCATGATCCGAGCCGAGGAACAATTTCGAGGAGACCTCCGACGAGAAGCTGAACTTCGAGAGGGTCATGGAGATCCTGGGCCAGGTCTGCAAGCCGCTGGAATGCACTTGAGTTGAATCGCTTCGTGCGGTTGCGAGAACATTACCCGAGTGTTTGCTCGATGTAAAATCACTATTATTGATAGAGTCGATACGTTGCCAGGTTTAACTCCGAGACATTTTCATGGTCTCGATGGTGCAGCTTCGCACACACATCGAAGCGATTTCAGATGAGCTGCACCCTGCTGCTGATTCTGTGGAGTGCCGTTGAGGTCGCGACCTAAAAGAACCCTAATGCCTAACTAAGTCCCCTAAGCCCTAAACCTACTAATAGTCTAAGATTTGAATAACCCTAAACCCTAAACCCTAAACCCTAAACCCTAAACCTTAAATCCTAAACCTTAAACCCTAAGTAGCCGAAGGTCGGAAAGAACCCTTTCAAGTTCGAAGAAGAGACCGGAAAGCCCGCAGCAAGCTACGACAAAACCGTCAATACGTGCATGAAGGCTTGGCTTTCAGACTTTCAATATGCTATATTGTCCTAGTCATACCGCCATAAGTCTGCAATCCCTTACAGCAACGTCTATAGTTCCCAGGTGTTGACAAGCGAGGAAATGTTCGGCCTCTTCCGTGTGGCCCGCAATGTTCTCGCGCCCTTCCGGGAGCATTGCTTGGAGCTTGTGCCTCGCCTGCTACTTCTGAAAAGGCTTCATTGTGTCTGCACAAACACTCTAACTGATTTAGAGACCCGTCTGTGCAAACTAAGCAAAGAAAGACGAACGCGAAGAATGCTCTCCACGACCACACGCTGAAGATGAACGGCCCAAGTTTGGAACAAAACTTGAGTGACTTGGCTACGAGCGCCTTGTGCAGCAGCGGTCTGGGCATGATCCCGGACATTGCCACCGGTCCGACACAGGCTGGGAGTGCAACAGCTGAGCTTTCCCGCTGCTTGAAACTAACCCAATATTTATTGATTACGTAATTATTCGAAGTGGAGTTTAGACAAATGGTGACTGCATCGTGGGTCCAGTCCAAAGAATGTTCTCGGGCTTGGGCACACGATCCTGACTTCCATGTGGCTACAGCTGGAAGACCGGCGAACCGCAACATCACTTGCAAAGTTAGAATTACTATCCAAGAAATTAGATGTTGAATCGCGAGCCCCGGAATCTCAGATCTATCTATCGCTGGCATCACAACTTGCTCACCGCAACAACGAGGGGCACGCACGATGAGCCACAGAGACACAGAGAACGGTTTAGGGGGGGAGAGAGAGAGAGAGAGAGCGAGACGACGAACCAACAAAAAGATTCAACTCAATTCTCGGCCCCCACTTTCGTCATTTCCTCTTATCCTAGACAGGTGCTGACGGTAAAGTTTCAGCGGGCTGGGAACGTGCTCCGGGAGGGCTTCGGTATGTACCTTGCTGCAGTCCACGAGATGGAGCAGTACGCTCTATACCTGAGGAGTGCTCCGAGCAAAGCGGCCGGTCTCCTGTCGTCCTTGGAAGACGCAGAGACGAAGAACAAAGTCATCGATGAGATGAGGCAGGAGTGGGAGTTGGTGCAGGCCTTGGAGTCTGTGCCATCCGGCGCCGCTGTCTTGAAGGCCAACTGTAACTACTGCTCTTTCCAGAGCTACCGCGAGCTGATGACCGGGCTTGAGAAGAGCAAGTGGGTTTTCACCGACGAATGCCGTGCCCTCGTTGCCGCCTGGTTCCCGGCCTACTGTTGGTCGGCTGGCATTGAGTCGGTGTTTGCTGACATGCAAGACGCATGCAAACGCTCGAACCGCTCGGACTGCGGCAGCCTGCCGAACCTGCACGCCGTTGGTGTGCGGTGTCTGCAAAACAGACTCTGTGTGCCGGGTGAGGCGCCCGACCACTTGCAGTTGGAGCCGGACGACTGGCTCGGCCCGCAAAGCTTAGGGGTGAAGTCGAAAGCCTTCAGCCCTTCCTCAGCACCGGCTTGTTCCGAGGCAAATATTGAGCCTTTGGGGGTTAAGAATCCTTTCGTTTCTATCCTGTCATATCCGCCATCGGCCACGCCCGAGGCAGAAACGTGCCCATGGACAACATCCTGAAGCCGTTCCCCTCGACATCAGCCTTTTTCCACAACCAGCACTGCCTCAACTTCATGTTTGGGGCTCCGCAACGCCCAGCAGCAGCCAGCAAGCACAACAGACTGATAGTCCATTCTGTCTTTTGACCTCGCTCATGAATAAATAAGAGCAATGAGCTGAGGCAAGGAAAGGAGCCGAAGGTCGAAGCAACCGGCTTCTGGATGGGCAACTGTGTTTCGAATGGGATGCTTTTCAAGCACAACAACAAGTTCTACGTGGCCACGGGCAAAACCCCAGGCACTGTGTGCGAGTCTTCGGCAGCATTCATTCATGGGAATTCCATACGTGCCATCAATTGATCCCAAGCGAGAGTTTTTCTGATCTAAGGCACTTCAGTTGATGGAGCTTCCTTATCGTTTCGAAGGGCCTCTGCCCGAGCGGAAGGAGGACGAGACACGCATGCCGTGCCTCCTGAGAGAGGCCGAGGATCCTCTTGAGCCGGGGTTGTCTACGCCGGCTCTCACGTTGGCTCTTGGAAGGCGATCGGGCATGGCTTTCTTTTCCAGTCCTAGAGCTTTTGCAAGAGCTATGATTGAAAGGGTTTCATGCTGCAGGGGCATGATCCAGCAGATCAGCTTCCGGTACGACGAGGCTTCTGGGCAAAATAATCAGTGAGTCCGCTTGTCCACAATCAAAATCGTATTTCATGCAAGGTTTGCTTCTTCAGCTACACTTTGCATGTGTGCGACACAGCCCTGGAAGCAAAGTGTGGAACGGCTGTGCTGCTGCGGCGAGGGCATCGGGAGTTCAGCTTGCTGAGCTACCTGGTGCATGCTGAGCACATTATGTCCTGCACCAATGCCTGCTTGACGGAGCTGCTGCAGAAGCACGACATCACGATGCCGAAGAATGCTGCGAAAGCACACAGAATCAAGCGAGTCCTGGAGATGGACCATGTCAAAGAAGCTTGTGGAGAGAAGACAATCCAGAAGCTGTTGCTTCTCTTGCAAGAGCAGGAAGCCAAGAAGAAGGGCAAGACCGAAGATGATCAGAATCAGGAGGCCTTCTTTTGTCAGCATAATTAGCAGTCCAGGCCTTGTGAGGAGCTTTGAAGTCTGAAGAGAGAGAGTGAGAGAGAGAGGGAGACAGATCTAAGAAATAATCAAAGGAAAAGAGAGATAGAGAGCGAGAGCGAAGAAGAGAGACATAATAGGGAGAAAGAGCATCCGCCATCAAGGCCGAGATTGATTGGGATGAATTGAAAGAGGATCCGGCCGCTGAAGCTTGCAGGGAGCTTCTTGCCAGATTGGACGAAGAGCAGGAGAAAGAAGAGCAAGAAGCAAAAGAGGAAGCAAAAGAGGACCATCGGCTCAGTCATTTGTGCGGGGTGTGCGAGCCACTTTGGTTCGTGAACGACAGGACACGGAGAGCAAGGAAGCAAAGCAGCTGGCGCGGATGACTGACTCGCAGGTCCGCGAGTCTAGGGCGATGCTGTCAAGCACGGCTTCATTGCCGGACGAGCTGCTGCGACGATTTCCGGTTCCTGAGGGAAGTGCAATGCACCAAACGGTGCATTGCGACAGCACTCTTCCTCACTTTCAGGGCCGCCTTTTGGGCGGAGCCTTCTACGAGGGCAAGCAGCCGGGCCGCACATTCGCAGATTATTTTGAAGCCCACAAGCTTTCAAGCAATAATTTCGATGCTTATCCCGTTTCCGTTACAGACGGGACGGTCATTCAGGTCTACTCAAGCAGCCTCTTACAATCCGTCGCTACCACTGGATGCATTGGATCAGCGGAAGACTTCGCTGAAATCGATTGCAGCTGGGAAGCGCTCTCAGGCTCAAGCCTATTTCATCGTGTGGTCGTGGCTTAAACGTGCCACCGACGGCGGAGTTCGGTCTGCGAAACGGCAGAGACGTGAGTAGACGACTAGCACAGGGTTTCTCTTTCGGGGCACAAGTGATGCCGAGGGTCAAAGAAATATGTTCATGCAAAGAGCTTTAAGACGGCCTTTCATCCTTCGGCATCCCTGTTCGCGGTTCAAGCTGCAGCTGACGATGTGGGGGCCGAGAAAAAGAGCTGAGCAAGCACGAAGACAAGTTGGAAGCAGGCAGGCTCAGCGGGCATGCGTTTCCCAACCCTTGAAGATTGAGAGAAACTGACGAGTATAAGCCCTAAACCTTAAACACATTTACACCCCAAAACGTGAACCCTGAACCGGAACCCCAAACCCCGAAGCCCTCAACCGACACACTGAATGCTAAACCCCGAAGCCCTCCGCCGTCATAATGGTAAACTCTGAGCCCTAAACCCTAAACCCTAAACCCTATACACCCTAAGCCCTAAACCCTAAACGGCCCTAAACCCTAAACGGCCCTAAACCCTAATCTAGCCCTAAGCCCTAAACCCTACACCCTCAACCCTACACCCTAAGCCCTAACCCCCTACACCCTAAGCCCTAAACCCGAAACCCTGAGCCCTAAACCCTACACCCTAAATCCTGAACCCAAAGCCCTGGACCCTCAACCCTACACCCTAAGCCCTAAACCCTACACCCTAAACCCTAAGCCCCAACCCCGGAAGCCCTACACCCTAAACCGTAAACTCTCCACCCTAAACCCCTAAACCGAAACCCGCCGAAAGCTCCCGGGGACGCTCCTCGGAACTGCAGCTGGGGCCCAGCGTGGGTCCGGCGAACGTTACCAGCCCACTGAGCTGCCCACCTGTGGCTTTTCCGATAGGCCCCATAGTAGTTCCTTTTGGGGGTTACCTTGAAAGATTCCATATATGAACCCCAAAAAGGAACTACTTTAGGGCCTATGGGTATCGCTTAGGGTTTAGGATTTTGGGCGTGGGGTTTAGGATTTTGAGCTTAGGGGCTTTATCGATATATTTTGAGTTTAGGGTTTAGGATTTTGGGTTTAGGACTTAGGATTTGGGGTTTTGGTTTAGGGTGTTGGATTTGTGGTTGCTGCTTTGGGGCTTGCGCTTTACTTGTTTGGGCTGTTGTGGGTGGTTTAGGGTTTGGTTATGGTTGGAGGGCCCATGGGCATTTGTTCGTGGCCTTTGAAGACGAGTTTTCTGAGGGTTTGGGGTTCAGGGCTTAGGGTTTAGGGTTTAGGGTTCGATCTTGTCAGGATGTGGAATACGGGTGGAGGGCCTGCTTCTGCTTTAAGGATATGTTCGTGGGATTCTGCCGAGGGTTCTTGAAGGGTTTCGTAAGTTTCCCACAAGGGTTCATACCGGTCCAGCGGTTCCGCAAGGGTGCAGAGCAGGATCTTTGGGCGAGGGTTTGACAAGTGCTTTGAATGTGTTGTCAGGCCTTTCGAAGGCTTCACGGATAAATCATAAAGGTTAATGAGCTTGTAACAAATCGTGTAGCTATAATAGGGAGCCCTGGGGAGCAGCAGGTGTGACTATTTAGGCGCCTATATGAACAGTTCCGTATGTAAAAGGGATTCTGAGCAAGTTGGTCAGGAACTACGGCTGATGAAGTTGATGATATAGATCCTGCGTTACCCATAATATGGAACATACCATAATTCCCATAGTTCAGGGTCCTTAAGGTAATGTAGGATTTATATTATCAACAGTAGGGTTCAGTGCTTCAGGCCTTTAGTGGCTTCTTGCAGCGTCTCAGAAGGGCCCTAAACCCTAAACCCTAAACCCTAAATCCTAAACCCTAAACCCTAAACCCTAAACCCTAAACCCTAAACCCTAAACCCTAAACCCTAAACCCTAAACCCTAATTGGGAAGGGTTTTGTGTTAGGACTTCCAAGTTCCCGGCTTTCGGGATGGCTCTTAAGGCTCTAGGGACTTGGCGCTTGGTCCTAAATCTGATGAGGGCCCACGGCTATAATAGAACATAATATGCTGGGTTTAGGGTTTAGGGTTTAGGGTTTAGGGTTTAGGGTTTAGGGTTTAGGACTGTACTATAATCTACCAAAAAATACGAATTATAGGTCTGAGGTCTTGCTTGGGTTCATCAAGCGCATCGTTTGCCTCGAAGGGTTGGAGGCTTCAAAGCCTAAACCCTAAATCCTAAACCCTAAACTAACCCCAATCCCTAAACCCCTAAACCCCTGGAGGCTTCAAAGCCTAAACCCTAAATCCTAAACCCTAAACTAACCCCAATCCCTAAACCCCTAAACCCCTAAACCCCGAAACCCTAAACCCTAAACCAGGGGTTTAGGGGTTCAGGGTTTAGGGTTTAGGGGTTTAGGGTTTAGGGGTTTAGGGGTTTAGGGGTTAGGGGTTTAGGGTTTAGGGGTTTAGGGATTTAGGGGTTTAGGGTTTTAGGTGAACCCTGAAACTACGGAGTGTGGGATTCCCCCGACGAAACTCAAAACGCCGAACACCCTGAATGCTGACCCTAGACCGAAGCCCCAAGGGCTTCCCCAGAGCAGAGGTTTTTCAGGTTTTGGGTTTTGGGGTTTGGGGTTTAGGGTGTAGGGGCTTTGGAAATAAAGTTTTCGGGGGGGGGATATGAATTCCCAAACCCTGAGCCTAACCTGCAGCCAAGCACGAACACCCTGGAAAATCCAATCCCTTCGCGACAGGCAGCATCGCTCGTTGGAGAGCGTTCCTGAGATAGGGGTCTGGTTATCTCATTCAGGGTGCTTGGGCTTAAATGCTGTCATATCATTGGTAGAATTCGTGATAGTATTCCGCCACCAGCATTCTGCTATCGTCCCGACATGCTTATCAGAATAAACATACCGAAACCAAGTTCAGTAATTAAGACAACAAAACCCTAAACCCTAAACCCTAAACCCTAAACCCTAAGCCCTAAACCCTAAACCCTAAACCCTAAACCCTAAACCCTAAACCCTATATGGTAGACAAGCGGCTCCAAGGTTTGAGACTGGAACACTCAGCGTGGGTGTTTCTCTGCTATTTCTCACGTGCGATTGATGCTTGCTCTAGTCTTATCTCCGTTTTTCTATGGTAGACAATAGTCACTCATGCAGAACGCTTTCCTTACTTTCCCAAGAATTCTCCAGGAATCGCCTCCACGTGTTGTATGTTTCCTTTTCCACATATCAGGTCTGAAGCCCATGGCAGGTCCCAGAAAAAATAAACATGCGAAGGAAGCACAAAGCAAATACGAAAATATCTACAGACACACCTACATACATAATTACATACTTACATACATACCTTCATACATACATACATACATACATACATACATACATGCATACGTACATCCATCCGTCCTTCTATCCAGGCATCCATGCCCATTGATCCAACCATCATGCATAAATACATGCATACAAGCCAGGCACACAGCCCACACACACACACACACACATCTCGATCCATCCATCCATGCAATCATATGTACGATCATGCACAAGTGTATGTGTATATATATATATATACATATATTATGTTTACATATGTATCGCTCGTTAGCTACATCTTGATTTAAAGAGAGCGCAGTACCTGCGATTGCATGCAAACTGTGGCGGAAGTATACCTGCGGTCAAGAGGCGGCTGTTGTCCCAAATGAGTTTCATCTGCGCAGGTTGCGGTGCCACAGGGATATTGGATCCTGCGTGCTACTATAAAGGGTCGGAATGATTTGAAATGCCATTCCCCTGTAGTGCCTGAGTAATTCATGCATGTCCTGTTAAAGCCACCGTACTTGAATGAGACCCCTACATGACGTGCTCAAGCACCTGGGAATACGGCTTAGGCTTAGGCTCGACTCTAGGGTGGAGCAAACGTTTCTCACACTGTGACCATGAAGCCCCATTCATCATCATAATCTTTGGTTTAAGGTTTAGGGTTTAGGGTTTAGGGGTTTAGGGTTTCGGGTTTGAGTCAGGGTAACTCGTAATCAGTTCTCGGCACTCGTCCTCAAACTGGAAACTCTGCCAACTTACTCCTGCTATGGGAAAGCTGACTGGACAAACCGCAAAATCTTATAAGCGGAGGGGGTTTACAGGCGAGGCTCTATTGCTACGAAGACCAACATTGCTTCTTTATTTCGGCTCGTACATCACACCTTAACGCACAGAGGCGCCTGAAGCCCTAAATGCCACCAGCATTCTCCGACGTTTCCAAAACAGGATCCTTATCTTCGTGCTTTCGGGACATTTAGGAGATGACAGAGTCAGTAGTGGGGTCCCGGCTAGTCCGAGAGCCTGCCAATAGTCTCCACTGGCCTATAAGGTAACCCGAACTAGGAGCTGCAATGGAGACTAAAGGAATTTAGGGTTTAGGGTTTAGGGGTTTAGGGTTTAGGGTTTAGGGTTAACTCCTAAATCCTAAATCCCTAAACCCTAAACAATTAAACTTTATAGTTCAACCCTGGACATGACTCTGCACAAATTTTCGAAGAAAGCGAAGCATTCAACGACAACTCTGACGTACCCCGGGGCTTCAAGGGAACCGCGCCATCCCACCCGAAGTTCTGCGAGCCTTCATCCCTGGGCCCAGAACTCTGAAACTAACCTCTTAACCCTAAATCACTAAAGCCCTAAGCCCTGAAGCCCTAAATCGAACCCGAAACCTTGAACCCTAGGCCCTTAACCCGTTGAACCGATAATGCTTGCAGGATCTAAGGAATCGAAGGTTTTGGGTTTCGGTCTCAAGGTCCCCCCTAACTCCTAAACCCCAAGACCCTGCCACTAGACGGATTCTGTGGGGATTTTTGAGGATGTAGGGTTTAGGGTCTATGGGGATTTACAAGAGGGTCTATAGGGATCTTCTCGGGCCCTGCAATTCTCGACAGAACCTGAACCCTAAACCCTACATTCATGATAGAACCTAAACCCTAAACCTTAAATCCTAAACCCTAAACCCTAGATCCTAAACTCTAAACCCTAAATTCATGACAGAACCTCCTTGCACGAGGACGTCGG